CTCATAAAAGTGAAAAGCGATTAGCTTTTTCAATATGTTTAAACTAATACTTTATATTTATTTCAATATTATATTTGTTTTTTCTGGATTTATATTATTTTCATACATTATTATGCATATGATATGTCCTTTGGCAGCTAAATTCAAAAATGATGTCCATTTTTTTGTCAAACTTAAGGTATACGAGATAAATTATAACTTTTTTAAATGTAATTATTTTTTGATAAATTTTAGATATTCATAATGTGGAAATATTAACGAATCTCAATATATATTTTTTAAAGTTGAGTTATTAAAATTATAAATTTGTTAAGCAATAAAACTCGGGTTAAAATTTTAATCCTTCAACAAAGGACCTTGGGGTCTATTGTTCAAGGAGGGATTGCAATATAATTTCCAAACTTAACAGAAATTTTCTACAAACTATTATGTTTTTTTTGCTGTTTTACACGTATATCGTGAGAGACGGTTTGTTGATCTTATATACCTTTAAAACTACTGTTAAAGTACTTTAAAAATGTCTTCTTATGGGTTATCAGGTAGTGGTACTGAAGTGGAACTCAAGCGTAGTCCAATTCAGTACCATTCCAGTACCACTCTTTCGGTAGGGTCCCTACCGAAAGAGTGGTACTGGGAAATTGGAACTGAGGGCTCAGTACCAACTCAGTACTAATTTGGTGCATTTTGGTACTGAAATGGAACTGGGAAATTTACCTGCGAAAAGGGTCGAGTTACCGCCCTACCGAAAGAGTGGTACTGGAATGGTACTGAATTGGACGTGGCTTGAGTTCCACTTCAGTACCACTACCTGATAACCCATAAGAAGACATTTTTAAAGTACTTTAACAATAGTTTTAAAGGTATATAAGATCAACAAACCGTCTCTCACGATATACGTGTAAAACAGCAAAAAATAACATAATAGTTTGTAGAAAATTTCTGTTAAGTTTGAAAATTATATTGCAATCCCTCCTTGAACAATAGACCCCTAGGTCCTTTGTTGAAGGATTAAAATTTTAACCCGAGTTTTATTGCTTAAAAAATTTGTAATTTTAATAACTCAACTTTAAAAAATATATATTCAGATTCGTTAATATTTCCAGATTATGAATATCTAAAATTTATCATAAAATAATTACATTTAAAAAAGTTATAATTTATCTCGTATACCTTAAGTTTGATAAAAAAATGGACATCATTTTTGAATTTAGCTGACAAAGGAAATATCATATGCATAATAATGTATGAAAATAATATAAATCCATGAAAAACAAATATAATATTGAAATAAATATAAAGTTTTAGTTTAAACATATTGAAAAAGCTAGTTGCTTTTCACTTTTATGAGGGTATTAACGGTAACTCGACCCTTTTCGCAGGTAAATTTCCCAGTTCCATTTCAGTACCAAAATGCACCAAATTAGTACTGAGTTGGTACTGAGATCTCAGTTCCAATTTCCCAGTACCAATCCAGTACCACCCTTCCGGTAGGGCGTTAATACCCTCATAAAAGTGAAAAGCGACTAGCTTTTTCAATATGTTTAAACTAAAACTTTATATTTATTTCAATATTATATTTGTTTTTCATGGATTTATATTATTTTCATACATTATTATGCATATGATATTTCCTTTGGCAGCTAAATTCAAAAATGATGTCCATTTTTTTTATCAAACTTAAGGTATACGAGATAAATTATAACTTTTTTAAATGTAATTATTTTATGATAAATTTTAGATATTCATAATCTGGAAATATTAACGAATCTGAATATATATTTTTTAACGTTGAGTTATTAAAATTACAAATTTTTTAAGCAATAAAACTCGGGTTAAAATTTTAATCCTTCAACAAAGGACCTAGGGGTCTATTGTTCAAGGAGGGATTGCAATATAATTTCCAAACTTAACAGAAATTTTCTACAAACTATTATGTTTTTTTTTGCTGTTTTACACGTATATCGTGAGAGACGGTTTGTTGATCTTATATACCTTTAAAACTATTGTTAAAGTACTTTAAAAATGTCTTCTTATGGGTTATCAGGTAGTGGTACTGAAGTGGAACTCAAGCCAAGTCCAATTCAGTACCATTCCAGTACCACTCTTTCGGTAGGGGTATAACAAAATTAATTATTAACACACATTTTCATTTTATTATATGTTAAAAAGCGTTTTCCATGTTTAAATTATGAATAAAATTGATGAAACTGGAAACTAATTTTCTTCCCCATAAGAATAACATTGTCAACTATTTGTTGTCCCTCCAGGCCTCTATCGTCATATCTTGAACTCGAAATATCTCGATGAACTGACACAGCCTAATTGAAACATTGATGTTCTGTATGCTATATATGAAACGAGCATAAGTTGGTTTCTACGGAAGCCTGTACGGCTCACGAGCGTCTCGGACGCAAGTGGCGGTGTTTCGTACCACAAGTGGTACGAAGTCCGTCCAACTTGTGGCATGTTCGTTAGTTCGTGCTACTTGTTGGGCAGACTTCGTGCCACTTGTGGAAAGTGGATTTTTTGAAGGGTCATTCACAAATATGACAATTCCGTTGGATCCTGTTGCTATCTATTTCGTCAGTGCTTTTCATTTCAATTTCATGTGAAGAAGAAAAAATGAATTTTATAATATATTAGTAATATTAGCATATAAGTAAATGCCATCGAACAAACTTTTTATAGTTCACACATAAATACTCCTTCCAAACGTAAATATACATATTAATAAACTACGGATTCCACAAAGAATTAAGCGGAAGTTTTTTCTTAGTTTAGAATAAAAATAAGATTTTTTGGTTATGTTGTCATTTTTTAATTTAAAATACATGAAGAGGATTTTATTTTTTAAAATTAAAAGTATATTTTTATGAATATTTAAGATTAATTAAGATGTCAATATCATTTGTTTACACTGAAATGTAATCTTTTACATATATTTTCAATTAAAAAATAACAAATTCATTTTTATTCAAAAACATTAAACGAACTTGCCCGGATGAAATTATACTTGAAATGAAAAGCACTGACGAAATAGATAGCAACAGGATCCAACGGAATTGTCATATTTGTGAATGACCCTTCAAGAAATCCACTTTCCACAAGTGGCACGGAGTCTGTCCAACAAGTTGGACGGACTTCGTGCCACTTGTGGTACGAAACACCGCCACTTGCGTCCGAGACGCTCGTGAGCCGTACAGGCTTCCGTAGGTTTCGCCTCGTTACGAGGTGGCGCGTAGAAGCTTCCGTAATAAAATAAAAGCACCTTTAGCAGTGATGGGTTGTGACTCTGATTTTTGCCATAACGAATTTTTCTTATCATTCTATTTAAATTAAAGTCTTAAAATAAAATAGAAATGGTCAGAAAAAGTAAAAGAAAATCTTTTAAAGAGGGTTTGCCCTGAGAAAAAATTGAATTTGAACGGATGAAAGAGCTAGGCACTGATAAAAATGTTGCTAAATGTTTAATTTGTCAAAACATTATGAAAAACACTGGCTATAAGCGTATTATTATTGTTTGTTATTGTTTATAAAGTTTTTATTTAAAAATTGATTATTTTGGGAGATACCAAACGACTAGACTGACAATATAATACTTAGAATATAGGTTATGTTATTATGCACGTGGCCCGGTGTTCACTCTTATCTGTGAAACTAACTTAGAAATAAAACCAATATAAAAACATTTCAATAATTAAAAAGTTTGTTTTACAATTGTTAAAATAATTAATAATTACCTAAATTTTGTTTATATTAACAACTTTCTCTTTCAATAGTGTAAAGTAATGAATGATGTATTTTAATGAAGAATTTAAAATTGCCGCTCTTAAATCACGTGATCAAATGTAATATACATCGTGTAGAAAACTTGGCACGTAATATACGTAGTATTATACACGTCGAAAACCACGTATTAAGGCCTTTCTCCAATAGGATCCTAAACTCTTGCATTGCGTCGGTTGCTATTGGCAACCAATACGGAAGCGCCTACGAGTCACCAGCGAACTATCTTGTTCGCGTCACATTTTTAAGGCCTTTCTCCAATAGGATCCTAAACTCTTGCGTTGCGTATGCATTGCGTCGGTTGCTATTGGCAACCAATGCTAAAATCAACGCGTCAGTCACGCAACGCAAAAGTTTAGGTTCCTATTGGAGAAAGGCCTTTAGCTGTGAAACCGAGGAACGCGTTCGATGGTTTCGCTGTTTCCTTGTTTTTGAGTGACGATAAAACACACTATACGGTTCGATGGTTCTCTGGTTTTACTTAGTTCTATCGTTATCGAAGTCTAAATTTTGTATTAAAAAAATAAATTTAAATTTAAAAACCGAAATATAATAATATATTTAAATTATATATTTGAGATATATCAGATATCTTATAATGTGTGCCTAAAAAATTATTTTATTTAAAAATAATAGTACAAAATATTAATAGTATAGTACAAATATAAAATGCAAACAAATCAACTTACTTCAAAATAATATTTTGTACTATTATTTTTAAATAAAATAATTTTTTAGGCACACATTATAAGATATCTGATATATCTCAAATATATAATTTAAATATATTATTATATTTCGGTTTTTAAATTTAAATTTATTTTTTTAATACAAAATTTAGACTTCGATAACGATAGAACTAAGTAAAATCAGAGAACCATCGAACCGTATAGTGTGTTTTATCGTCACTCAAAAACAAGGAAACAGCGAAACCATCGAACGCGTTCCTCGGTTTCACAGCTAAAAATGTGACGCGAACAAGATAGTTCGCTGGTGACTTGTAGGCGCTTCCGTACTTCCGTAAACCAATGCTAAAATCAACGCGTCAGTCACGCAACGCAAAAGTTTAGGTTCCTATTGGAGAAAGGCCTTTATACGTCATGTATTATACGTACCCATCACTGACCTTTAGCTTCCGTGATCTGACGTCACATCTCGAATCGATTTGATGTCACAAGTGATACAGCCAAATTTTCCATCCCTGCTTCCTTAGGCCGAAACACAATTGCTTTGTCAATGACGTTAGAAAAAGAACTTTATATTTTGTATTGTGTGGCATTGCGGCATGGATGCACGTGCATTCTGTGGATTGGTGGTTGTTATTTATAAAAATTTTTTTTTAAACAAATGATATTTTAAAAATTAAAGGTACGTATATATAATAAAAGTAAACATTCATAAGTATAATTTTTTTTATTAAGATTAGCAATTTTTTACCTTTTTATGTATTACATTCTTATAAATAACTTGTTTACAAAGTAGGTATAATGTTTATTAAAATTAATTTTTCAAACAAAATTTATTATTTATGGTTGCTTTCTTTTTATTAACAATTATTAACAATTTAATAATAAAATGTGTATTATTGTTTCTTTTAATAATTTATATTTTTAATTTCAGATGTTGATTTCTTTATTTATATTTCCTCTACTACTTTTAAGTCTGGAACCAATAAAAGCAGATAGGAAAATCAATAAATATGTAACCACATTAATTAATGCTAAATGGAATGAGACTCCTCTTGTTCTTGAAGTAGCTGAATATCTAAATGATGAAAACCCAAATTATTTTTGGAGATTTATCGATGCAGTGTCCGAAAGTGGACTTGAAAATACTGGTTAGTTTCTTTAATGTTATTTTTTGTCAACAAACTGTTTTTCTTTGACGTGTCACTTTTTTATTAACTTGATATTTTATAAGACTTACTTTTCTTTTCAGGTAATAATTTATTTAAATCAAAATACTATCTTTGTTAAGAAAAAGCATTTTAAAGAATGACTTGTCTGTAATAATTTTTGGGACCCATGAATAAGTTCTAAAACTAAATTAATAGAATTTTATTAGATACCTAGAATTTTCATTGAGTCGAATTTTATTGGTTCCAATTATTATTTTTCAGAATTTTCATTAAAATGATTTTCTATATTACCAGACCTGGGATTATACGACTTTTTCCATATACAATGCAGATCTTTATTTTAATTATTTAACACATTTTTAACTAAAATTTATCACTAAATTAATTATTTTTAATAATTTTAATGAAATTATTCACAAATTCAATTATCTTAAACTATTTGTCGAATTAAAGAATTTATTACAAATTCAATAATTGTTTGAAATTTAAAAAAAAATCAGCAATGGAAATTATCAAAAATTTCAATTTAAAATCACTTGGAATACAATTATTTTTAAATATTTTATTTTAAAACCTAAAATTTTCCATCTAAAACGTTCGAAAATTTAATAATTTTAATTATAACTCTTCCGAAATATAATAATTTTTTTTAATGATTTTTATAATATTCTTCGAAAATTCAATTGTCTGAAACCATTTTTCACTTAAAAAATTTCAAATTCAATTTTTGTCTGCAATTTCTAATAAATTTTTCAGTAACAGAAATCATTAAAAAACTTTAATTAAAAATCACTTGAAGTACAATTATTTTCAAAAATCTGAATTATAAGTAAATCGTTAAAAATTGAATTACTTTTAAAAAATGTTATCTAAAATTATTTGATAAGTTATTTTCAGTTCTATAAAATTTAACTATTTTCAGGAATTTTTTTTACCGTCAAAATTAAAAATTATGACAAAATTTTTAATTTAAATAAATGGCTTAAATCAGACTTCAAAAAATTATAAAAATGGAACTTTAAGAGTTTATTTAGAAATTTGTCCTACTTAAATAAAATTTTTGAAAATTTATCTTAGAATTAGTTTGATTCTGAAATATTCGAAATATTTTTTCATTTAACATAGTAGTCATTTTAATGAATTTTTATTGGGTAGAATTTCATTACATATCATTTTCTTTTACATGGATTTTTCATATTAAAATGAGAGTAAACATTTACTTTTCAAATAACCCCTGTACCATTTTCGTATTGAAATTCTATCGAAGCACCAAATCTGAACTGATTTTAATGTTCTTTTTTTTAAATTCTCAAGAGGAGTTCCTCTTCAAAATAAGCTTCAGCGGCGCAAAATTTTTTAACACATAACCTAAAAAATGATTAAATGGAAATTTTTTAGTTATTTTTTATTTTTTTAAGTGATTTAATGATTTACTGTTTCCAAATCTAAATATATATACCTGTTTTTCGAGTTCTACAATACAAATGCACTATAAAAAATTTCAAAATGGCGGAAAAGAAGTAAGAAAATTGAATAATTTTTTCTAATAAAAACATTCATATGCTGTTAATATAACACACTTAAAGACTTGGACTCCCCAATATAATTTATTATATTTATGGGGTAAAATTCCTGTAGTGAACTAAGTGAAAAAAAGTTGATCGGATCGGGCTGTAACTTGCACATAGTTTAGCCCTAGGGGTAAGTAATTTAACCACGAAGTATTATTAGGTTTTTTCAAAAACTGTCGGAGAGGGAGGGGGTTGAATTTTTTTGAAAAATTTAAACAGTGAATTTTTGAAGACTTGTAACTTTCAAACAGAAAGAAGAAAAAAAATTTGTCCTGTATGATTTCGAAAGGTTTTTTCCTGCTCTTTCAAATAGTGCAAAAAAAATTTCAAAAATTCAAATTTTGACCCTTTTTTTGAAAATTAAACTTTTTTTCGAATGTTTTTTTAAGTTCGGTCCTTTTTATTTTTTTTATTTATTTTTTTTTTTGAAAGCTAAAAATGTGTATTTTCACCTCAAAAAATATTGAGATGTCCTTTTTTGTTATTTTCGAAATATTAATTAATTAATCAATTAATGTTAATAAAAATTTATATATTTCATAAACGAATAATGGTGTCGTAATACTGACGTCACTAAATGAAAGTTGACAAAATTCCGCATCCAACGAGCTCTATATGAAGTACTTTGGGTTAGTGGATTGTTAATAAACAATTGGCTAACAGGGAAATTGTTTATAAAAAATCCTCTAATCCAAAAGAGTCCATATAAGACTCGTTGGATGCGGAATTACGTCAGCTTTTTATTGGTGAGCAACTCCACGTTAAGTGATCGCACCGATTTAGGCTATTTTGATAAATTTTTATAATATTGATAACTTGGGTTCCTTTAAGGTATTAGTCGCGTAAAATCATTTTCGTCAGATATTTTTTAAATTTTGCATGAGTGTTTCTGACATAATTATCTACAAAATAAGACCAATCCCATCGATTTTGACCGTTCCTAAGCTTTAAAATATCATTTCAAAGTTGATACTTTTTACATGGACGGAGCACCTAATGCATGTAAGGAATTTGCTTTATAATTATTTAAATGAAAACCAGTCGTCAGATTTTAAAATAAAACTACCACATAATACATTCTCATGAAACGAATGCATACAAAAAAACTGAAATTTTTTGACCGTACCAAACTATAAATATATTAGGAGAAAGTTAACAAAATTTTAAATTATATGAAGTTCCACTGCTGGAAAGCAGTAAACTTGGCAACGCTGTAGCGCGCGAATGCATACAAAATTCAAAATCATGCAAAGTACACAGTTAGAAAGTAGGAATATCTCATAGAGTAGAATAAAAAAATAATATATTTAAAATTTCACAACATAGATTAGTATTAAATAATTACGACAAAAACAGCTAAACACTTTTTGTGACTCTAACATTCAGTAGCACTGGTACATTCAGATTGCGACGTTGCCGCGATCAAAACTTTAGTTCTACACGTGCGAGAACGCGGCGCTCTGAGTGAAAATTACCTGTACCCTTCAAAAAGTTTGACTCAGAACTATACCTCTTGCTAAAGGCCTAAGCAGAATAGATTCTTGAACGGGAACGCAATCGTAAACGGAAACGTAAGAATGTGTAAGAGAAGGATAGCAAATATCTTTATTCTTCTCTCACCCATTCTTACGTTTCCATTCACGATTGCGTTCCCGTTCAAGAATCTATTCTGCTTAGGCCTTAAGCACAGACTGAGTCAGACTCAAGACAAACTTTTGGTTAGAGCCGGCGCGCGACTAATACCTTAAAGGAACCCAAATTATCAATATTATAAAAATTTATCAAAATAGCCTAAATCGGTACAATCACTTGACGTGGAGTTGCTCTGGTACCTTCAGGATTGCAATAACTTTATTTATTTGTGAAATATTTCATTTTTTATTAACATTAATTAATTAATTAATATCTCGAAAATGACAAAAAAGACATCTCAATATTTTTTGTGGTGAAAATACTCATTTTCAGCTTTAAAAAAAAAAAAAAATTGGTCAGGTACGAGTTACACTCGCTTACCTAGGGTTCCGTTCACGATTATTTAAATTCAAATATTTAGATATAATATTTTAAAGGGGTTGGCTATATTTTTCGTGAAATCTCCACATGAAATTAAATATGTGTACCAAGTTATAGCTTCTCAGCTCCAAAACTTTAAAAGGTAAGACGCGGAGAACACGCTTTTTTCAGAAATTTCGAGTTTTTGTACTCTAACTATATTAAATTCAATTCAAATCGGGTTCGCTATAATTTTTCTTTAATCTACTCGCAAAATACGTATGTATACTAAGTTTGAGCCCAATCGGTTAAAATGGCTAGATTTTAGAGGGGGGGACAGGATTTTGTGGACGGACATGAGTGAAACCATAAGGGTTCCGTTTCGGTTCACTGCGTAAACGGAACCCTAAAAATAAATAAAAAAAAATAAAAAGGACCAAACTTAAAAAAAAATCGAAAAGAAGTTTAATTTTCAAAAAAAGGGTCAAAATTCGAATTTTTTGACAATTTTTTTGCATCATTCGAAAGAGCAGGAAAAAACCTTTCGAAAACATATAGGACAAATTTTTTTTTTCTTTCTGTTTAAAAGTTGCAAGTCTTCAAAAATTCACTGTTTAAATTTTTCAAAAAAATTCAACCCCCTCCCTCTCTGACAGTTTTTGAAAAAACCTAACAATACTTTGTGGTTAAATTACTTACCTCTAGGGCTAAACTAAACTAAATATCACTAAAATGAAAACGTGACTTCTCATTACTAATTTGTTTATAGAAAATAAATAAATTTATTCTATTTAATTTTTTTCTTGCGTTTTGTTTCTTATGACTTTGCACTTTTGTTTCAACAATATTTAGCAAAATCTAATTACTTTTAAAAAATTGGTATCAAAAATAATTTCAAATTTTTTTTTATTTTTGTTGTTAAATAAAAAATTTTGCAATAATTTTTTTCAAAGTTTTTTTTTAAATTTTATAATTTAAAAAAAGAAAAGTTAAAATGTATCCAACAGTTTAGTCTAAATGTTGATTTGTTCAAAACTCTGCATTTTGCCCCACTGTACGATTCATACTCACACATAAGGAAGTATAATATACAATTTAAATAATTTAACCAATATTTATTATGATTTTAAGTAGTACGTTTCAGAAATTCTTAGTCTTGTAAAATATATGTATAAAAATATATAGATGTAAAAATTTTTTAAATTTATGAAAAATATAAGATTGTTGAATAGTAAAAAATTTTTTGTTGATTTACAGTAACTGAGAAAGATCAATATGAAGCAGCGATTCAATTAGCTAAACAATTTCTTTCGTCCGCCGAAATGGCTGTACTTAAATTGGGTTTATCATTGCGAATTTATTCAGCTCGTGTTGAAATGTTTCATCAAATGGCTCAAAATAAAAATAACCCCAATTTAAACTGCGAAGTTTTCATGGATGTTGGTGGAAAGTTAACATGCTCGTTGGAAAAGTTGGATGAGTTGTTAAAAAAGGTTCGGCAGTTTTTGTTTTATTAAATTTTACATTTTTCTAATAAAAAAGGGACCGCAAATTATGAAAAATTGAATTGTTCCTTGTGGAAATCTTTGTGGTTCTTTTTTTGTGATGTTTCTTAAATTGAAGAATTATTTTACAAAATAAATTTTAACATTGTAGGATGAATGGGAACACATAGATACTTACAGCATAGATCACTTTTATTCAGGAAAACAAAATACTAATAAATGTATTGTTTTATACGGACAATTAGGAACTGATAACTTCACAAGGTTTCACAAAACTTTAAAATCTATTGCTGAGAAACAAAAAATTAACTATGTTCTTCGTCACTACGTAAAGGTAAATTACTTTTTATTAATTTTTTGTCAAAAAATTATTTATTTAGCATCACAAAATCCCTGCGCCTGCATTTTAGTTTGATTATAAATGAGCATTTTTTTATCTCCTTAACTTCATAAATATAGAATAGATTGGATAGAAAATTACAATTGTCTGGTTATGGAGTCGAATTACAAATGAAATCTACAGAATACAAAGCAACAGATGATTCGGATATAAAGGAGAATCGTAAGGAAGAATCAGATGAAGAAAATAAAGGCGTTGAAGAATTGGATGGAATCAATTTTTCTATTTTAAAGTAAGTATATTTAAAATATTTCATGTATCAAAAAATTTTGTATATACTTTAAGTGTTACCTCCTATAACAACTCCCTCTTGAAATTGAAATTAATTATTGTTGAAAATCTTTTCCCTTAGAAATGTGAAGCTTCTAAATGACCCTAATAATTTTTAAAAAAATTACTACTTTCACTATAAAACAAAGGTATTTTCGAAAATCCTGGCCAATTTTAAGGCTGCCTTATTTTATTTACAATTTAATATTTGACTTACTTTTATCCTTTTGACTTCTCGATTTAATAAATATTTCATCTGATTGCTCTATGAGAGGATGATAAAGTAAAGAAACTACAATTTTGGCTGATTCTGGTGAAAAAAATGATATTTATAAAGTTTCATTCTTAAAAATCTACTGTTATTATTTTCACTGAATTGGTACAAATAAAAGGTTCGGATGTTCAATACAGTCTTGTAATATTCAGCTTGAGATTAATTTTCAAGGTTTCCTTCATCTTGGTCCTCGTTAATAATGTCTTCTTCACTTAATCTTTTTTGACTCGGGATCCCGTAATTAATATGCCCTTGATTAACGTTTATTTTGTGAAAAAATTGCCATTTTTAAAATTTTTTGTTCAATCAAAATAATCGTATTCTATACTGGTATCATAGTCATAAAAAAAAATTAAAATGTTTGTCCGTCAAAAAGTAAGGTCCTCCTATGAAGAAATTTTACAATTTCCTCATAAACAATTCCATCGCGCACAAAATATTTTAATATTTTATTTTTGACATTTAAAATAAATATTTGTTTTTACAATAAATTTTCAGAAAACTTTATCCAGATAAACACGCGGAATTAGAGAAGCTGCAGAATCATCTTCTAGAAACCAGTCATGAAATCGGTGCCCTCAAAGTTTGGCAGTTTCAGGATCTGAGTCATCAGGCGGCAGAAAGAATAATGAATTCCCCTTCGAGTGAAGCTATTAAAATTCTATTAGACATTGCTCAAAATTTTCCAATGCAGGTTCGTTATTTAATAACATTTTTCATTGAGAATATTGTATACAAAAGGGTTTTCTAAATCTGAATATTACAGGCAAAGTCGCTGATAAAATCAAAAGTGAATTCTGACATGAAAATGGAAATGAACTTAAATCAGCAAAATTTTTCTGCAAATTTAAATATCCAACCTACTGATACAGCTATTTTTATTAATGGCTTGTTTTATGATCTTGAAACAAATGATATTCTTACTCTTTTAGAATGTTTAAGAACTGAACTTAGAGTCATGGAGCCTCTTTCTAAAATTGGTAATTAATGAAATTAGTTCTTTATTCTTTGTATTGAAAATAATTTCTGTTGTGGTAATTGTAGTTTGGTTGGACTCTAGTTTCTAGCCACCGAACTGCTTGGTTGAGATTGCTTATATATCTTTTTACTTTGTACAGCAAAATAGTACTTAACTTTATGCAAATTTAAATGCAACAAATAACACTGCCCAGCAAATTTCAAATTTTTTTCTACGAATAAGATGAGACATAGTGCTTCCGAACGGATTTTTTGTGCTGAACACGAATCCGGGGTCGAAAACTTCCCATCACGTCACGTTTTCGAGAAAATAGGGGTTGAAACCCCTAAAAACAGGGTTTTTGGCCATATTTGAAAAATTATACAGCGAAAACCTGACGTGGTACAAACTTTGATGATATCAGAAATTAAAGGTTGGTTCATGCCCTTTCACACCAGCCCTATTCGAAATTGATCGCACTCACCCTTAGAGCAGGGGGTGTGTTTTTGTCTAGGGGTGCACGAAAAAAATGTAAACATAACATAAAAATTCAAAATGGATAACAATTCAATAAATCATAATAGTTAAGGGGTTTTCGGGGTTAAGGTTTGTACCACGTCAGGTTTTCGCTGTATAATTTTTCAAAAATGGCCAAAAACCCTGTTTTGAGGTGTTTCAACCCCTATTTTCTCGAAAACGTGACGTGATGGGAAGTTTTCGACCCCGGATTCGTGTTCAGCACAAAAAATCCGTTCGGAAACACTATGTCCCATGTTATTCGCAAAATCGATGCAGGGCAGTGTAATCGACATTTTTAAGAAAAATTAAGATTTTTTTACCACTGGATTCGTTTTGAAACGAGGAATCTAGCTGTAGTAATATTATTTTATAATATTAATTAATTTTGAAGATAATTAGTTCTTAATCATCAAACTTTTTTGAGATCGTGTTGAAAAGTCGGTACTTGCAGACCAAAAAGTTTTTTGAAATCTGATGTCAGATTCGTAATCAACGACCACAGAAAACCCCGAGTAACGAGTTTTTAGAGAATTTCAGAAAACTTTTTAAAATCTTTTTTCTATGTGTAATTTTTGAAACATTTTTGGCTTTTACACACCACTTTGAATTAAAAATAAAATTAATTACATCTTTATTTTGAATACCTTAAATTAGTATATTGATACTCTATAAAAAAAGGAAGGTAGATTTTAACTCCCAGCGCGACTCTACGAAAGTTCTACAAATTCCTTATCGGGTCCATAGAATGGACTATGGAAAATCTATTGGATTGTCCGTCTAGCTTGATATTCTAAGAATATTTTTATTACCTAAAAGCAACTTTGTCGTCCGCAAGCGCCCGACTACGTTGCTAGTGTGCATTAACCATATTTTTTATTCATTTTTTTTCAAAAAAATTTAATATTAGAAAAGTGAAAAAAATTTCTTTATATTGGATCTACCACCCAAGTAGCAAGGAATATTGCTCGAATGTCAAGCTGATATCAAGCGGCAATATTTTTGTGACATTCAGGCGATATCATAATGTCCTCTTCACGGGGACATTCCTCGGTGATGTATCTATATGATCTATGTGACGGTCTTTCACACAAAAAATGTAACGCATTACAAAACTTACATTCTAATTTATTAAACCTAAATAATTCTGTGGAACTTTACTTTCATTGAAATCTTTAAAAGACATTATTGCAACTCCTGCAGTTTTTTTATTCCAATTATCGTTTTTACATGCCAAATTCTTTTCTTGACGCACTTTCTTTTCATCTTCCGTTTCCGTAGAAAATTTTTTCTTCTTACATGACAAATTATTTTCTTGACGCACTTTCTTTTCATCTTGAGTTTCCATTGATATTTTGCTTTTCCCACATGCCAAATTTTTATCCTTGCGTATTTTCTTTTCATCTTCAGTTTTTATAGATAATTTCTTTTTTTTTGCATGTCAAATTTTTTTTGCGCTCTTTCTTTTTTATTTCTGTTTTATTACGATTACGTTTTCTCAATCTCTCATTCTCTTGTCTTCTTATTTTCTGCTCATATGTAACTTCGCGCCTTGCCTTCCTTTTTCTACCCTTCTCTTTAATTGCTCGAATTATCTTTTTATCATTTTCTTTACTCAGAAAATTCTTCATTTTTAAATATTCATGTGGTGAAATTTTGTTCACATTATTATCAGTTGTACGAATTATTTTCTTTTCACTAGTGTCATTTAGAGAATGTTTAATTTTTAAATTATGTGTTAATAGAACTCTGTTAATATTATTACTGTGCAAAGTATTAAAAACAGAACAAGAGTTTAAAATATAATTTTTATGTTCCTAAGTTCAATTTATGAAAAGACGGTTCTAATTATTCTCTATTATCGAATTCCTATTGTGAGACGTTCTTACTGCCAGAAAATGATTTAAGCGATTATTTTCAAACATTGACTTAAAATGGTTTCTCATTTTGTTATTATCAGTTTCATAATTTACACGGTTTGGCATTACGTTAAATAATACAGATGTTGCAAATGCTATTGCATATACTCCACACTAAACACTACCAAAAAGTTGTTGATTAACAGCTTCAAAAACTACTGTTGGTTTAAAAGGGAACAATCTAATTAAACATTTTATTTGATGCACATTTAAACACCCCTCATTATGGCTATCAAAAATATAAAGCCTTACTCTATCGTAATAAACATAAATTCAGTGACCATAACTGTTATTACCGCTAAAAAGTAATTGAATATGTTTATCACCTTCTCTAATTGGGACAATAAAATCAAGCATTTGTACATACAAAGTACTTTGCACATTGAAAAATGAATTGGAATCTTTTCTTAATAATTCTTCAAATTTGTACATATGCATGTAATTTAACAATTCATTTCTATTTTCAATAATTTTTAAATCTTTATCACTTAAAATAACATACTCTTTTATGTTGGCCATAGTATACTTCGTTTAATTTTATTTTTGATTGATGAAAATCTAAATATCTTTAACCCTTTTGCTCACTCTCTCTAATATAACCAATTTTGTCTTTAATTCAATACAACCAATTTTACCTTTTATTAAAAATAAGCAATTTTTCCTTTAATTCAATACAATTAATTTTACCTTTTACTAAATATAACCAATTTTTCCTTTAATCCAATATAACCAATTTTTACTTTAATCCAATATAACCAATTTTGCCTTTTATCCAATAAAACTACCAAATATCCAAAAGAATGAGAGAACTATGAGTAACTATGAATCAGTAACTACTGATCAGCCAATAAGTGCAAAAAGGACACTCTTAAATGAGTAATCAGTAGTTCATTAGAAATAACATATATACGTATTTATACCTGTATTAAAACACCGGAACAAATACCACAAAAAAACCAACCATTGGACAATAGAACCTTTGTTAATGGGGATTAACTCTGAGGACCCAGGTAATAATTTCTTTTTTTACATTTATTATATAGAAAAATAAAGATGTACCAACCCTTGGCCAATAGAACCTTTGTTAATGAAGATTAACTCTGAGTACATAATGAAATGTACAGTAGGTTTACATTGACATCGGCACGTCCGACGTCTCGAAATTTTTTCCGTGTATTATCACAAGGAAATATAAAGATAAAAGTCAAAAACTGAAGAGGTAATGTATATCTTTCTTTCTCACATCAAGGAATATAACATATAATTTTCATTTAATATTGCATTTCTCTATCTAGAGGATTCAAAATAACATAAGAATATCTTCGCCTAAAAATCTTACTCTTCTTTCTTTCTGTTTTCAAAATAAAAAAAATATGTATATACCAGTATTAGACTCTCAGAACAATTACCACAAACAATACCAATCCTTGGACAATAGAGCCTTTGTTAATGAAGATTAATTCTGAGGGGCCAGGTAATAATTTTTTAATTTTTTTATTAAAATTTTCTGGGGCTCTAATACAGGTAGGGGAGAGTGATAAACAGTGGGACAGTTTAAACAGTAGGTCACTTTAATTTTCTGAAAAACTACTTAAAGAAACTCGACCAAAATTTAAATGTAAACCATGTTTATGACAACACACTATCTATACGCATGCGCATTTATACTTACACAGCGACTAAAAATGTGATTTTTTTATGCTAAAAAACATTAAAAAATTCAAAATTTATAATTATTACAATTATTGTTCGGCAACATTTGAAAAATAACACTTAATCAGAGAACGACTATTCAAATTTTCCTCCAAATTGTTTTTATGTTATGACCAAATTATGACGTATGATCAGCAGTACTGTAAACGTAAAAAAAAATAATAACAATTTTTTATATGAAACTTGACATCGTATTATAAAAATGTAAAATATTATTAAAATATAAGTGTTTTGCAACATTTGTTAACGTTATTTAATGCAAAACATATATATTTATAAAGTATGAAGCAGAATATTATTATTGAAACAAATATTCATTATTTAATAATAGGTGTCCCACTGTTTAACACAAACCTTGAAAACAAGAAAAATGTATCAAGTTCCAAAAACTTGAAATTTTTCTATTTAATCACAATATAATTTAAATAGAATATATGCATTATGTGGAAAAGAGTTCAAACTTTATGGTAATACCAAAAAGTGGACAAAAATATATAAAATTGAAAAAAAGTGATCTTATGCCATTTTGAATTGTCTAGATAGAGAAACGCAATGTTAAACGAAGAAGTACTTATGTTATATTCCTTGGTGTAAGAAAGAAAGGTATGCGTTACCTATTCAGTTTTAGACTTTCTTTATAGTTTTTTCACGTGATAAAGGGAGAAAGAAATTATTACCTGGGTCCTCAGAGTTATTAATTAATCCTCTTTAAAAGATTGCAGGTCAAGCGAACCCTCATTTTTTGCAAAATAAAGATATATCTTTCTCTCTCCATAACTTGTTCCTTTCTCTGTCACCGAAAACCCAGCAGGGGTCCGGACGGAATGAATGAATGAATGAATGAATACCAAGATTATTATAGTTAATAACATCT